CCGTATAGAAGTTTCGCCACATCCCAGCCACAGAAGCAGATGTGGCTGTGCAATTACTGACGTAGGTTGGCCCCCAAATACCGAGGGGCCTCCCACTTGGTTCAGAGACGAATGCCAATTAACCAAGTATTTAGCAAGTTTTCCATTTGCAATTAAATCAATCAAACTCGTTATTGTCTTTCACTACAATCTTCACCTTCTTTGATCATCCTCAACCAGTTTCCCCCAATCTTATCTGATCCCGATATCCACAAAACACCACCAAGCACGTCAAGATGCTAGAATACTTCACCCTAAAGAAGGCGAAGAAACACCGGGAACAGAAGGCAGAAGAAAAGGCAAAGTCAGAGCAATCGAAGGGCAAAGAGACGCAGCCGGCGTCAGGAAGTGCCAAGGATGAAAAAGCGACAGAGCCAGAGTTGGGAGTTGCCGCTTCGCCCGCTCCTCAGATCATCTCTACCCCCGCCGACAATGATGACACCCCCACAGAGGAGGAGGGCACGCCGGTTCTCGACCACGAAGACGAGAAATTCCTCGAGCGACTGACATCACCAGACGCAGTAGTCGAGGACGAGAATGAGACACCTCCGCCTCTGCCCCCTCGCGTCAAGACGCCCGTCATCGATATCGACAGCGACGATGCGTCGAGTATAGCAAGCGCAAGCGCAAAAGACTCGCAACCAAAGAATCCCAAAGGGAAAGAGAAAGAAGACCCGGAATCAAAATCAACAGACACCCACAACAAGTCCAAGCGCTTCAGCTACATAACCAATCTCTCGCGCAACATCTCCCTCCGCCGCAACAAACCCACCACCACGACAACCAAAGAAGGTCTCCAACCCGACCACCTAGCAGTCCCCTCAACCTCCGAAGCAGACAAGGAAAAAACGGAAATGGCCCGCGTGCTGGACGACCTAGACCTATCAGCCAAGAACAACCGCGCCTTCTCCCTATCCACCGAATCAGCAGAAATGGCGCGCCGCTTCACCCAAGTGCTGAAAGACCTCGTGAACGGCGTACCAACAGCCTACGGGGACCTCGTCTCCCTCCTCGAAGACCGCGACGGCGTGCTCGCGCGGACTTTCGACAAGTTACCTTCGAGCCTAAAGAAACTCGTAGCCCAGCTCCCCGAGAAACTCACCTCGTCTTTCGCACCGGAGATCCTAGCCGTAGCAGCTGAAGCACAGGGTCTGAGTGCCGCGGAGAGTAAAGCCGCAGCAGGAGCAGGACTGAAAGGCGCCGCGAAGAAATTCCTGACCCCCTCGAATCTGCATGACCTCGTCACGCGTCCTGGCGCACTAGCCGGATTGCTGAAGGGCATCGTCAACGCGCTGAAGACGCGGTTCCCGGCTTTCGTGGGGACGAATGTGCTTTGGAGCCTTGCTGTGTTTTTACTGCTTTCTATGCTTTGGTATTGCTATAAACGTGGTCGTGAGGTCAGGCTTGAGCGTGAGGCTTCCGAGGCTTCGGCTGCGAATAAGGATGAGGGTGAGGGAGAGGGAAAGGCGAATGATGAGGAGATTGAGGGGCGGCCTCGCGTTGAGGAGTTGCCGGATGATCCCATGTTGAATGTTCCTGCTCCTACCTCGGCTTCTAGGGCGGAGGCTGTTCCTACGGAGGGAAATACCAAGTAAGGAGCGCATGAGTTAGACTTGAGTTGACAATGTGAAGCGCCAACGGTCTCTTTATGATGGATTGGTTTGGACTGGGTTAGTTTTATGGCGACACGATTATGACGATGATGATACCCGGATATTTACACTCTCTTTTCATCCCCGTTCTCCTCCCCATTCTCTCTCGCCGTCGATTTTTACAGTGTAATGTTTAATAGAGTGTTTATGGGACAGGAAGCAACAGTTCATATATGTAATCTCATTCATCTACGTTTGAGATGAGATGAGATGGAATGGTCGACACGAGAAGGCGTATGTAGTTTTTAGAAGACGGGCCAGATTAACAATGATTTTAAGCACACGGATGAAATGCATATGGAAATGCCCGAGATATGTCCGCCCACCTGTTTGTTCTAGTTCACGTGAAATATGAGTCAACAAACAAGTCGAGTTTCACAGATCAATAAAGACTCACCCATATATTGGTTTATCTTCATAGGATATCCTATTACCTATTTTGAACGCAGGTACCAAATAGCCAACGCGACATCTTGGGCACGGTTACTGATATTTTGCCGGTTGTTCCAGAATTAGGTGTTCTTCCGAATCTGTATGATCATATAGTTTGTTCTTATAGGTATACATGACCCTATCTCTCTTCATTGCACTGATCTAACTGGGTATCTTTGATGTGATAACGACGTGACGAGACGACGGGTCTTAATGCTATGCCTCAGGGAGAGATATAATATCGCGAATGCTGCTGCGGTTGCTGAGTGAGCGGATGTAACATACTATATAGCTTATCTCCACTTTTCGCCGTCCATGATCTTCCCATAACACATTCGCAATGCATGGATCCCCGGTCATAGAACCGAAGAAAAGCGAAGAATGATCCTACCACTAATCATCCTGGACCAACTCTTTGATCTCCTCGCTCGCGGGTGCAATGCCGACAGGCTCAGCCTTCTCGTCACGGCCGCCGGTGCGATCAAGAACTCGTGCACCATCTTGCATCCAGAAGTCAACTTCATCAACGATATCCGCGACGACGTCTTCGACGATCTGCTCATCGTAGCGATCTACGACGGCCCGGGTCTTCTCCATCTTCTTCTGCTGTGGCGTGCCCACGTGCACCGTATCTTCGTCTACATCCACCATCTCCACATCGCCGCCCAGAGGGGGGGCGTATCCGGGAGGCGGGTACCAGAAATCAGGGCCGAAGTTGGTCTCGACTGCACCGCCACGGAATACGCTTATGGCGGGATAATATCCGAGCATGCCATCGTCTTTCCCTTCTCGAGCACCGACTTGTGCCTGGGGTTTAGAGGCCGGTGGTAGGAAAGCGAGAAGATCAGTAAATGGGGTGCCCATTAGCACTCCGTTCTTGTACACCTTGATGTAAGAATTTGGTAATGTCCGCAGAGAGGGGATGGCATGATTCGGATTCGGCTTATCATTCGACCGATTCCCTGCTTGACCAGATGTACCCACCGGCGATGGATTCATCAGGTCCTCGAGTTCTTTCGTTGTGTGATAATCGATCTTCTCAAAGTAAATATGGGCTTTGAATCGGATGGGTATCCGATCTCGAATAATGTTAGCTGCTTCTAATGTGGGTTCATCCTCTTCATTTAGATCAACAGCAGGATTATACTGTCCCTGGGCGATCTTCCTGTGAAGGTGCTCGGATGGCAGCCGAATCTCGAGTCCTATCACATCACCTTCTCTAACATCCTCGCCGGGAGGGAAGAAATCTTTTGGTCGAGACATGTGGACTTTTTGGCCGGCGACGTCTCTCAAACCGTAGCTATATGCATCGAACCCGACAGGGGCATCCAGCGACGCTTCACGTCTGGCAAAGCCTATGCGCACATGACCGTGTGACTCAGGCTGATAAGCCGCATCCTTGCCAGTGCTCGCGTTTTTCGTCATACTCTCGGCTTTCAGAATACCCCTAGTAACCTTACATTCCCAGTACCATGTCCCCTCGCGCACGGCTACATTCGCTCTCACCATGCGGAACCCCTTGTCTGTTGTTACATGACGACCCGACTGATCGAGATACATGTGTGTAGAGGCATCTTCGAAACTGATGTGAGGGCCGTAAGGTTCAGGCTCGGTCTGGCGATAGTAGAAAGAGGAAGGGAAGGCGGGGTCGGCAATACAGTGTAAGTAGTGATAACTTTTCTTGTTATACACGCTTGATGAGCAAGTTAGAGAGGCTGTGTCTATACTGGTGGGAGCGCGAGTGCTGCGTTGCGATAGAAAGCAACTTACTGTTCCGAGGTCTCGAAGAACTGGAGAGTCGAACCGTCGGGGGCGGGAACATCGTGATGATGAGTGAATACAGGACCCCGCGCAGGGTCGAAGTCGGAGGGTTTTGGAGGGGCGAGCTTGTATCGCAATGGCGACGATTCGCTGGGGACCGGTTCCTTGGTCTTGGGGTCGGGTGTCGCTCTCGAGCTGTCAGTGCCGGTGCCACCACCAGCGGTACTGGCAGCACCACCAACGCCGACCTTTGACTCCCGTTTCTTCAGCGTGTCCTTCTTGGTCCTCACTGGCTTATCACGAGCCAGGTTCGCCGAGTCGTCATGTGGCTGAGAGTTTGTATTCAGAGTCGAACTGGGGTTTGGGTTCGGATTGGGGTTGAGCGGCGACGAGATAGGCGGCGCATGATCGTCTTCGTGGACTCTCTTTTGGGGGATGGAGGATACTGGGAGCATGGGCACCGGGACAGGTGTTATCTGCCTCTGCGGCACGTCGTCGCTGGTAGCCATGCTGACGTCGCAGCGTGATGAGAACTCAAGAGGTTATCACCGTAGATGTCAACTGACAGTAGACATATTTCAATTCTATAATGACCACTGAGGGGAGAGGACGATGGAGATGCGCTGATGACACTGAACGCTGTATGATGCAATTGAAAGACGACCACCTGATTGTGAGAATTGTAGACACGAAAGAAAGAGTCTGTGAAGGGGAGGTAGGTATAGATATGTATACAGATCGCAGTTTGTCAAGGGGATGATAAAGTCGATAACGTAGGAACCCTAGGTAGGTGTATGCTTTGGAGGCGCGTTCGCGTGCTGTTCAACATCCATCACACCTGTAGATGCTTATCGTCGTGCCTTATCGTCCTGAAATAGACCTTAAAAGCCCCACAGACTCAACCCCACGAAGCCGTACGCTGTACCTCAGTAGCTAAGCATGTACATAAGACAGACAATAAAGTTAGAGTTTATCAGCTTACCGAAAGCAACAGATATCCCTCTGCAAGGCGGAAAGGAACAAAAACCACTGTTTAGGCTGCTAAAGATGCTACCGTAGAACGACGAGAGAAAAAGAACAGGAAGCATAAAACAGCCAAAAATTGAGTGTATCGAACGACCAGCACGGGACTCGAACCCGCAACCCTAGACTGACCTCTACACACCATCATGATAGTGTTGGAGTAGGAGGTCTATACGCCTGCAGATACGAGTTAATAAATGACGTAATCGTTTTTGTTTATGAAGTTAACTTACTACCATTGCGCCAACCGGTCGAGCATGATTAGCCTGCCTTAACTGGTGTTTACATATGTAATCACGGTAGCGCCGAGATTTCTTTTTGTTAAAGCACCAGAGCAAGTTAATCAAGACTTATAAGTCATTGTCAATCAACTGACTAGAGTTGCTTGGTGAATTTGGGATAAAACGCTAGTACAAGCGTAATTAAATTGGATGGTCTGTTTTGACAGCGCATTTTGAACTGTGCATGCAGGCATTTGCCCATGTTTGGATATTTAGTAACAACGGATAAATAATTATTGGCTGGCTTATATGATACATCCATAGGACATAATCCAATGCAGTCTTTAAACTTGTTTTTTTTTACGGCAAGGATTTAAAAGAATGACAATCATAAAAATTTGGTGAGAAGTGTAATTTGTATTTGTATTTTGTCATGTTTCATGTATGAATTTCGGCCTGCCATTTTTGCATCGCGATAAGCGTAGCAGCGAATAGCCAATAGCCTCATGCGCCATGTTCCAAACAAAGTCTATAAATGTCTATAAATCTTAATCTCATTTCATCTCATTCATTCAACTCATTCCAACACCTCCATCCTCATCATCCCAACTCAGCGCGGCTCTTCAATCTGATCCTTAGCTCTACGGAAGGAAAGGGGTAGGCGAAACAGAAGGCGAAGCAGAAGGCGACACCGTAGTGGTCGTGGTATTGTCATAGCACATGGCATCGATGTTGCAGTGGCAGTTGGCCTGGCACATGGCACAGAGCGCCGGGTCCGCATTAGACGAGCCTCCGATCTCGACGAAACCGCACGATGACGACTCCCGCCGGCAGTACAGACAGTCGCTGCACTGGGAGATGTCGAGCGGCGCGTTGCATCCCTGGTTGCAGTACAGCCCGCACGATTTGCAGTCTGGGTCGCACGATGGCCAGTCGGCTAGGGCAGCTGGTATGATGGCTAGTGCGAGGGCTAGGAGCGTTGGTGCGCGCATTGTGTTGTGCAGAGGGTATATATATATGTGTGTGTGTAGTTGTTGTAATTAGTGTTGACACTGGCGTGCTTGTATATGGAAGCTTATAAAGGGATGTTGTGCTTGTTTGTGTTGCTCGAGGGAGTAGACAAGACAAGTGACTATGTTTCTCACAGTCGAACCCGCGATCGCTTAAATGGTCGATCGAGTAGAGCAAGTCATTGCCTTCCTAGGTAGGTAACCGGCGAATCCCCCTTCATTAATCCTAAGAGATTAAGGCACCCAACCTCCAAACGCATTATATCCGGAGCGACCAGGAACTGCAGATCCCCTAATCCGGCCGTCTCTCGAACTCAACATCCCTTTCACAAATCGCCTAACTACCGTATGTTACCTCGATTCCTGTACATAATTGGTCTGCGCTGGTGAGTCGGTCAGGAACCTGGTAAATGTTTAAGACTAGGTTATACTAGTTCGCATTATCCAGGCCCGCTATTTTTGGATACGGGCTTACTAACATCAAAATGTCATCATGATGAATTGTCTGTGGGTGGCCTAGACGATTCTTAGCGTAGTATTTGTATCGTAGCGATGGCCCGATACGAGATTAGGCGTAAAACCTCCAACCAGGTAGATGTCCTTTGTCTCGGTATATTATAATAGTTTTTCAAGTGAGACAACTTTATACCCTTATCAGTATATACTCATCATGCTATAAACTTTTCATAATCACCGTTATATTCTTTTTCACAAGTTCATCTATTAAGTTATTATATTAAACTGGCCGAGTTTCGGTAGTGGTAGCTATCTGTGTGATTTATTTAATCACATGCTACTGTACGAAGATGCTTTCCGACACCTATAATCAAGCAGCTGTATTCTCATCCCAATCAATGCCGAACCTTTTGCCTGTGGTTGATAAGAGAGCTTTACTGGAATTGCTTTCACGACCATTGTCCGTTGGGGCACTGGAATCACCCCACCACCCTAAGCGAAACCTCTTTCCCTTCACGATCACTAACGGTTTCCTCTTAATCTTCAGTTCATGGTCTCTGCTATCATTTGGTGCCTGACTTGTATCCTCACCCTGGATGAGACGCGACCCCGCAAACAGCGCCATGCTACTCGCGATGGGATACGGGTTCCGTGGCAGTACGCGCATATCTACGCACCACCACGCAATTCCTCCGAATAACACCATTGTGCCCAGGAACGCCTGAAGTATGATTTTAGACGTCTTGTGGAGTTTTAGTCTTGAGACAGTCACTGTTATTGAGCCCCTAATAACCCCATCGCTAGGAATTGGTGGCGTTATAGTCCCATTGCCTATGCTGGAGCGCCACTCGCGGTCGATAATAATGGACATGAATCCTTGATATAATCTGTTCAAAGCAGATATTAATGCGTTAATGTTTTTACTCCCAACCAGATTCTTACGGTTAGGGGCATTAGGTTCGTGAATCAGGTACTCAAACATAACGTCGAATAGTTCGTCGTCAGCAGACCCCCATGAATCAGGAAGACCGATACCCTGAAGAGAGCCTGTAACCCATCCGGAAAGTGAGGTACTGTTGGATTTTGCGTCCAGGATATTTTGGGTGGCAGCCGAGTTGAGGTGTGCGTCTCGGGCAAGGTCAGGCATAAATGAATCAGACGAGGTTCTAGCATAAGTAGTATTTACCTCAACCCATTGGGCTCGTAACGTACATACCAGGGCGGTAATGTCAGAGTAGAGTTGCAGACCAACCTGCTCGTACGTGCCAAATATAAGTCCAAGGGCCGGGCAATTTCCCAAGGGCGGGCCAAACCAGCCGTCATATAAAAGGTCGTAAGTTTGGCCTACCCACCACTTATCCGTGGTATCATCCAATGGGTTAAAGCTGTTTGAGAAGTTGAAAGCGCTATTGGGGTCGGTCAACGAAGATGAGCGACAGCCAGCTGGGAGTGAAACCCTTGTCAAGACTTCTATACCACCTGGCGCTGACGACTCACGCACTGTGACATTTGACGAGGGCAGCGCGTAACACTCGAGTATTGGTCGTATTGCAGGCACAGAAATCCTATATTGTGATGTGTTGCCATTCAAAGTTACCCCAAGCCCTGTGATAGACGGTTGAGGGTTACCTATCTTTGGCAACACAACATTATCCCAGATCAGCATTGACTCTTTAGGACCACCGTGCTCGATATCATAAAGAATTATCATCGTATCATCGCTAACGGTTCTATTCCCTGTGAAATCGGCATTCCAATCCGATTGGGACTCAGCGGTAACATCTCGCGAGATTTGAATAGCGGTGTTAACCCATAGACCAGAGGTTACAACTGTTAACAAGCTACCAACAGTCGACGCCGTTAGCGATAGCGCGGCTCCAAAATGCCGGTGATAAATTGCTTTGTATAGAGCTATTGGCAGAGTATCACCAGCAATGTTGAAGAAGATGGTGCGTTCAGGGGTCGCAGCCCCCGCGGCTAGGGCGCTAAACGGTGTCATGGTAGCAATTCCGAAATCAAGAGCGTTGAACAAGGTAGATATGGCGAGAACGACAGAAGTAGAACCGTAACGAATGGAATAAGCAGCTATACTTGAATCGGAATAAACATTCACGAAACGCTCGTCATGTTCGGATAGATACCACAAGATCTCGAGCGCCGCAATCGAAATCAAGGGCAAAGTTAGAGTCAGCGCGATCGCGTGGCTGCGACTCGAACATGGCATCCATTTCCTTTTCTTTTTTGTTCCGGATTTTTTGGATTTCTTCTTGCTCGTCAACTTCGCCGACCTCCATTTCCTCAGTAGCCAGCTAGGTGGCTTGGATATTGTCTCCCGCTGAATCGCTGCAGCCACATTAATACGAAGCATCCCCGCTTGATCCCGATCTGCTGTGAAATTATATCCGGCCAGCTCTTTACGTATCTCTCTCAGACTTATCGCGCTAGATTCTCCTAGAAGCATACTTAGAGCTGGGCTTCTAGACATGGTGTAGGCGGCGGTGGTGAGAGTCGCTGGAGATTGGGGGGCTACTCTCAGTTTAATGTGGATGATAACCATGACAACGAGACAGGCTACGATGGCTAAAAGTCCTACTATGCTCCACAAGGCGATTGGTCTAACGTAAAGCCTTTGTTCCGTGTAGATAATAGAGCCCAAAGCTGTCGTGTTATTTGAGAGCAAGAAGTTCCGACGGAATAATTAATGACTAAAACTAGCCAAGGTTTGCTCTGTCCTATCTCGAAGTTGTGATGTGTTCAGCAAAGGATCAAATGCATGCTTAGACACGTTTCTTGAGTCGGCCAATAATCCGAGAAGATTCTGCCCGTAATGTGTTGTTGTACTGACGTAGTAGTCACCGATGAGTATACTGTCTCGGACACCCAGAACCTGGTAGACCAATACCTGAAGACCATTATTCGTGAGGTTGCCGATTTGGCCTAGGTCGTTTTTGGTGATTTGTAATGAGTCGATTTTGCTCGTTTCAACTGCCGGCCCATGTGCATTCCCGGTATTGAGCGAGTACTCTAAGCCGCAAGTAATGGCAGAGGCGCGATGAACAGTAACGCTGAATGTATTGTTGCCACTATAATCTTGTTCTCCTCCAACAAGTAACACCTCACTTTCTATCGCAATGATCACGTGGCGAGATTCCTTCGTAGTAGTAAAATTGCGTGGTTTGTCGAGGTCAATGATCGTAGCGTTTTCTTCGTTACATTGGATATAGTCGTCCAGGAAGTATTGTAATGTAGGGGTACAGGCGTCGACGCTGTTTTCGCATGCAGGAACCAGGAACCTAGCGAGTCCACAAGTAGATGAATTCAATGTTAAATTGAATGACTCTCCCGGGCGATCTTGAGACCAACCAACAGTAGCAGCCTCGCAGGTCACATTCATTTTGACCGCAGTAACCGGAACTGAAACTTCAGCTGCCTCGTCTGGAATTTTCGTGATAATAGAATAATTGGTAAAAGCCGTGGAAAGTTCCAGGGGAACAGCTGCGTCACGATACTGCTCCTGTAGGGCTACATAGTCCCAAAGATGACGGCTTGAATATTGGCCGTTTTCC